CCCTGCCTTCCCCGCCGTGATGGACTGCACCTTCCCACGGTGACCAGAGACAAACCCACCCTGCCCACCTAACTACAACAGCCTCCAAGTTCAAACGTACTGAAACAAGTGCTGGGTGGCAAAGTCAGTGCATTATTCACTGACTATGAAGTTCTGGCTTGGGGATTTAGCTCAGAAGTGAGGTACTTACCACCCAGCACGTGTGAGGTACTGGGTTGCAAGCTACCATAATCAGTTAATAGTCATCTAGATAGCTGGGCGTTGCTGTGGGACAGTCTGTATGTCAAATTGCTCTGATTGGTCAATAAATAAAACACTGGTTGGCCAGTGGCCAGGCAGGAAGTAGGTGGGACAAGGAGAGAGGAGAATTCTGGGAAGCAGAAGGCTGAGGCGGAGAGACACTGCAGCCGCCGCCATGACCAACAGCATGTGAAGATGCCGGTAAGCCACCAGCCACGTGGCAAGGTATAGATTTATGGAAATGGATTAATTTAAGCTATAAGCACAGTTAGCAAGAAGCCTGCCACGGCCATACAGTTTGTAAGCAATATAAGTCTCTGTGTTTACTTGGTTGGGTCTGAGCGGCTGTGGGACTGGCGGGTGACAAAGATTTGTCCTGACTGTGGGCAAGGCAGGAAAACTCTAGCTACAGGGCGTCAGGCTAAAGAAAGAGGATTGCAATTTCAAGGCCTGCCTGACCTACAGAACACTTCACGGACCCACCTCTACCAGGTTAGTCTTTTTCAAGGGAAAGTCCTATATTTACTACAGCAGTTATGTAGTTACGTGAGAGTGTATGCAGAGGCCAGAGGTTGATGGCAAGTGTCTTCATCAATTGCACCCCCACTTAATTTACTGATGTAGGGTCTCTCACTGAACCCAGAGCTCACTGATTTGTAAATCTAGTTGTCCAGCTTGCCCTGGTAATCCCTTGTCCCTGCCTCCTCAGGGCTGAAATCAGAGAAAGGCTGCTAAGACCATGTAGCTTTTATGTGGGTTGCTAGGGATATGAAATCTGGTCTTCCAAGCGAGTGTGTTATTCCCTGAGCCATCTCCCTAGCCTGTCTCTCTTGTGTTTCATAGAACCCTCATTTCTGCCATAAGCTGTGTGATTTTTTTTAAAGATTTATTTATTTATTATGTATACAGCATGTATGTCTGCATGCCAGAAGAGGGCGCCAGATCTCATTACAGATGGTTGTGAGCCACCATGTGGTTGCTGGGAATTGAATTCAGGTCCTCTGGAAGAGCAGTCAGTGCTCTTAACCTCTGAGCCATCTCTCCAGCCCACTGTGTGATTTTTTTTATTGCATGGTGTTGCATGATGCAGAGGGTTTTTGTTTGTTTTCTTTTTTAAATTTTTCTGAGACAAGGTTTCTCTGTGTAGCCCTAGCTGTCCTGGAACTCACTCTGTAGACCAGGCAGTCCTCGAACTCAGACATCTACCTGTCTCTGCCTCCCAAGTGCTGGGATTAAAGGCATGCACCACCACTGCCTGGATGTTTTCTATTTTTTAAAGATTCATTTATTTTTATTTTGTATGTATGTATTTGCATGTGCATGCCTAGTGTCCACAAAGGCCAGAAGAGGGCATCAGATCCCCTGAACTAGATTTCCCAGCAGTTGAGAACTGTCCAACTTGAGTGCTGAGATGCGAATCCAGGTTGTCTGTAAGAGCATCAGGTGCTCTTAGGCACTGAACCATCTCTCCACCCCTGCTACTTTACGTAAAAGGATTTAAAATATTTACTAGTGGTGTGTGTGTGTGTGTGTGTGTGTGTGTGTGTGAAGGTCAGAGGACAGCATTTTGGAGCTGGTTCTTCCCTTCTGTTGTGGGTTCAATGTGACATCATTATTGCCAAGTCATCACAGTAGCCCGTGAGATTCCTTTGGAACATGCCACGCTGTAATGGGACTGACTGTAGCTGGATGCAGAGGCTTTCCTATCTCGGTGCATTCTTTCAACAGAGGCACAGAATTTCTGCTGTCTTTGTCTCTGTGATGTTCAGAGGGGTGTTGTGGGATGTCTTTCTGTATGCTGTGAGTATGTGTGGCTCCCGCTGGATAATAAATAAAGCTGTTTTGGCCTATGGCAAGAAAGCTTACAGCCAGGCGGGAAATCCAAGCAGAGACACAGAGGGAAGAGAGGAGTTGGGGGAGACTCCAGCCCGCCACGGAAGGAGCAACAGGATGCCAGCAGACCAGTAACACCACGGCCACGTGCCAACATACAGATTTATAGAAAATGGGTTAATTTAAGATGAAAGCTAGCTAGCGAGAAGCTGAAGCCATAGGCCATACAGTTTGCAATTAATATAAGCCTCTGAGTGATCATTTTATAAGCAGCTGTGGGACCATGGGTGGGAGAGATTCATCTTGACTGCAGGGCAAGGCAGGAGCAGAGAAACTTCCCTCTAGAGAGGGGCCTCCACCCGTGTTTAACTGTGGCCAGGTGAGCAGCCACTAGCCTATGGTATTGTTTCCTTTTCATTTATTAACCAGACGTGTGTAAGTGTGTGTTTGTGTATATGGTGTACACACACATGTGCACGTGATGCATAGGTGCCTGAACTTGTGCACATGCTTGCAAAGAACTGTGGAGGTCTGAACGAGAAGTGCCCCCACGGGCTCACATATTTAGATGCTTCGTCGTCAGTTGGTGGACTGTTTGGAAAGATTAGTTGGTGCGGCCTTGTAGGAATAGGTGTGTTGCTAGGCGTGGGCTTTGAGGTTTCAAAAGTCTGTGCCAGGCCCAGAGTTTCTCTGCCTTCTGCCTGGCAGATCAGGATGCAGCTCTCAGCTACTTCTCCAGCACTATGTCTGCCTGCCACCATGCTCTGCACCAAGAGGATAATGGGCTGACCCTCTGAAACTGTAAGAAAGCTCCCAATTGAATGCTGTCTTCTGTAAGAGCTGCTATGGTCATGGTGTCTCTTCACAGCAATAGAACTGTGACTAAGACAAGGGCAGAGGAAGACTCCAGGTGTCCTGCTCTACCTTTCCTCACTTTACTTCTTTTGAGACAGGCTCTCTCCTTGAACCTGGAGCTCAGCTGGTGGCCATAAGCCCCAGCACCCCCACCCCTAGACAGAGACATGGTACAGGCACATACAAACGTGCCCAGCTTTTTCATGGTGCTAGAACCCAAACTCGGGTCTTCATGCTTGGGCAGCAGGTGCCCCTTCCCACTGAGCCGTCTCTCCAGCCTCTGGACTATCTATTTTTATAAAAACATCTTTCATAAAAGATGTTTCTTCCATCCATCTATCCACCCACGTCTGTCTGTCTATATAAATATCTATGTAAATATCCATCTATCCACCCACGTCTGTCTGTCTGTCTATATAAATATCTATGTAAATATCTATCCATCTATGTTGATATTATTTTTGACACAGGATCTCACTATGTAGCTCTGGCTGGCTGTCCCAGTACTCTGTATGTAGAACAGGCTGGCTTCCAGCTCACAGAGATCTGCTTATCTCTGCCTCTTGCGCTCTGGGGTTAAAGGTGGGTGCCATCACACCCAGCTGAGATAATTCTCTTTATCTACAGATTGATATATTTCATACAATGCTGGAGGTCACTAAGAACATACAGCAGATGACAACCCACCAGATGACTAGCTCTCTGATGGGGAGCCCCACTAGGCAAAGGACGTGGGGTCACTGGCTGTGGAAACCCCAGTGTTTCTGTCTGTAACTTTCTCACATGCTGCCACGATTCCTCCCTAAAAAGAACAGCCGTGGAATTCTTTCCACAGCCCATTAGTGGTATGTTTTATACTTTCTGGGCATACATATATATCTGTGGATGGTCAGGAAGATGATTTCTTCTTAAGCTGTATAATTCTGATGAATAGAAATAATGCTAGGATATTTTTCATAGCTCAAACTGACATAGGAAAATAACAGTATTCTCAGCCACAAACAAAGACAGCTTTTTACATATTTAGTTGATTTAAGACCTCAGAGAAAATTCAAAGCAGACTAGTTGCCCCAGAAAATGAATTGCACAAGAACAGATTCCAAACTGTTTGTTGAACCAAAGTCAGGCACAAAACAGCTTTAGTAGACATTAACTCCCTGTACAGATTCTCTCAGCAACTGACTCTCTGTGCACACAATGCAGGGCTTAAGGTTTAGCCAACTGTTTATTGTTTAGGTCCTGAATTTCAAAGTCACTCTCCATCAGGAAATACTGGGTGCTCAACCTATGTGCCTCCTGACGTCCAAAGTCTGAGAGAAACTGTGTGATTTCTTATGGCTCTGTTTCTTATTGTTTACTCAAGAAATGTTATGTGACCCTCAAAATGCAACTCATATATTTGTCCAGAGATTTTTCTGTGAGAGAGCTGTAAAGAGGAGAGATGTAGCTGCGTCAAGAGATATTATAGCTGTGTGGAGATAGATTTTTCAGGGGAGATTTTTCAAGATGAAATGAAAGTTACCATCAGAACCCATGTGTTTCTTTCCTTACCCCTCAGATCGAAAAGATTGGCCCTTGCCATATTCATGTTTTTTGTTTGTTTGTTTGTTTGTTTGTTTGTTTGTTTTTGCATACCCTGGGTGCTGCTGGAGGCTGGTCCTCCCGGCAGTGATAATAGAGAAGGCCAAATAGATGTTTGATTACCTCAGTTTTCAAGATACCAGTTTTTAAAAAAGACATTTTTATTTACATAAGTACGTGTATACGTGCATGGGTGTATAGGTGCCCATGCAGTCCAGAAGAGGGCACTGGATCCCTTGGAGCTGGAGTTACAGGTGATTGTGAGCTACCTGATACAGATGTTGGGAACCAAACTCAGATCCTTGCTAAAAGCAGTATGTACTCTTAAACACTGAGCCGTCTCTCCAGCCCCAAGATAATGCAGTCTTTATTAATCATTCCTCCAAAGGTAACCAGTTAGGTTTTATTTTATAATACGGTATCATTATGAACTTGTGGGTTTAAAATGTATGTTGACTTCCAACCAATTGCAATTACTATTTTTTCTGGAGGTCAAATGACCACATCTTTGATCAGTGACAGCCTCTTCAAACTGGCTCTGTTGGCATTTTGCCATGACTCCTGTAATCAATAGCATTCCTGCTATCTGGTAGAACACAGGGGAACTAATACATTGGGATTTGTCCTAGAGAAATAGGCAAGTAAATGTGTGTACAAAGCTGCTGTGGACTGGACCAAGAGGTTGGTTGCTTGAGATGTCTCATGTAGCCCAGTTTGGCCTCAAACTTGATACATATCTGAGGATGACCTTGAACTCCTAATCATCCTTTCTCTACCTCCTCAGTGCTAGGATAAAAACACAACCTACCATACACAGTGGTCTGGGAGATCCAACCCAGGGTTTCATGCATGCTAGGTAAGCAAGCACCCTACCAACTGAATTACATTTCCAATCCCAGTTTTTTGTTTTGTTTTGTTTTAGAATGCCACTCAGTCTTTTAATCAGGCAAGGGCAAAGCTCCACTTTAAAAAAAGTAGTTTGAAGGGTAAGACCCTTTTTAACTTTCATTTCTACTAAATATTAACCCAAATTGTCTCATTTGAACCCTTTCAAATTCCAATAATCAGCTAATGTGTGACTGAGAAACTTGAAAGACACCTACCTTCAAATGTTGGTCCATAAATAGACTCTCCATCATCTCCTTTCCCCTCTACTATATCTGAGAAGTAACAACACCCAGATTAGAACAGTGATGCCAGAGGGAAGAAGGGGCCTTTAATTCTGACTGTTTACATCTTACATCAAATCTAGAGTAAGCTGCCCAATTGAAAATATTACTACGACCACTTCACCTTATCATGTAATCGTTTTTACTTTTATAAATTCATTTTGTTGTCATAACTCTCTGGGGGTAACAAGTTATAATGTAACAGCTTTGAAAAAGTGTTAAATTATCATTATGGCCACAATTTAGAGAAGATATTCACACAAACACATTTGCTTCAAAAGTTATTTCATGTGGTAGTTTGAATGTAATTGGCACTATTAGGAGGTGTGGCTTTGTTGGAGGAAGTGTGTCACTGTGGAGGCAGGCTTTGGAGTCTCATATATGCTCAAGCCACACCCAGTGTCTCACACCACTTCCTGTTGCCTGATGATCAAGGTGTAGCTCATTCTCCACTCAACTCCTTCTCCAGCACCTTGTCTGCCTGCACGCCACCATGCCATAATGATAATAAATTAAACCTCTGAAACTGTAAGCCACTCAATCAAATACTTTCCTTTATAAGAGTTTCTGTGGTCATGGTGTCTCTTCACAGCAATAGAAACCCTAAGACATTCCATATTTCACTTTGCTTTTCAGAGAAGTGGAAAGAGTAAACTGAGAAGAAGAAATGGAAAAAGTTCTCTTTGAACATGAATGAAAATAGATGCTTTAGGTGCTGGGGGGGGTGGGTAGCTCATATGGCAGGGTGTTTTCTGTGCAACCCTGAGGACCTGAGTGCTGTGGGATGGTCTGTATGTCAAATTGCTCTGATTGGTCAATAAATAAAACACTGATTGGCCAGTGGCTAGGCAGGAAGTATAGGCGGGACTAACAGAGAGGAGAAAAGAAAGAACAGGAAGGCAGAAAGAGTCACTGCCAGCCTCCACCATGACAAGCAGCATGTGAAGATGCCTGTAAGCCATGAGCTACGTG